GTGCCCGTGACCCAAGCTCCTCCATGGGAAGTGCTTTGCATAATGTTTGTGTCACTGGGAACACTGTTTGTCTGATGGCTATTAAAGGACCAGTGTGGACTTGGGGAGGGGACTCATGGCACAGCACTGGGTAACCAAACAGGAACACCATTCTACTCAGCAACAGAGCCCTGTCTCTGAGGCCTGCGCTAGGCTGGATGAGCAAAGCACTCAGGAGGCCCTTGGCTCTGCTAGCCAGGCACTCCCCTGCCAAGTGCCTCAAGAGCATGTCAATGCCCCACGCCTGGCCACCAGGGTGCAGAGGGCATGCTGTAGCATGAGCTTGCTTAAAGGCACAGCTCTAAGTCAGCACCCTACCCCCAGGTGGGTCCCGAGAGCACTTTCTCTACTGGTTCTACTTTCAGAAGTAGGTGAGAGGCTGGCGTTGTGAGGTAGAGTGGGCCCTTCCTGACATGGAAGAAAATATCTCCAACTTGCAACTCTTAGCTTGCCATTCTATAAAAGGAGGGCATCAGGAGTGTCAAATCAAGAGCATGTGTAGCTCCACTACCCACTTCTAATCCAGGGCAGATATCAACAACTGATTCATTATACCACCCTCTAGAATCTTTAACACAGAATAGCCAGGAGCAACTGCTTGGACTTGGACCACAAGACAAATTCTACTTGGGTTCAAATGGTTCAATGCTACTGATTTTTTAAATGCCTTTCTCTCCGGGTAACGAGGCCAAGTGGGCCTCCTCTGATAGCCTTGGCAGGAGGGCCTGCCTTCACAATGCGAGATGAGCCACCATGGCCAGTGGGGAAGCACCTGGTCCTGCTTTGGTAGGACTCTAACCCGGCGGCTCCTCTTATAACTTGCCACTGGGGCTACTACAGCTTTTTCACAACCTGCTATAAGCAGGTTACTCAAGAGTTCCACAAGATGCTCCACGTCCCTGAAGCCCACTTACAACGCATGTCTTCTTGATAACTTATTCAGTGCTCACTTTCTTTCCTGTGCCACTGTTTCTCTGTATCACATGGCTGCCTCCTTAGACTGGTAAGAAAAGCAGAAACTGGTACTGCTCCTTCCTCTTGCAGAACTTTATGCTACTAATACTGGTACTACTGAGGATCCTGGCTAACTGGTCACTAGGCACGATGCTGAGCCTCCACATACATTATCTCTCTGCAGTGTGACCCCAGACACTTGCAATTGTAGGAACGACGCACAGGACAAGGAAGCAGCCCAAGTCAGCACAGATATTAAGTCACACAAAGCCTGATGTACTCCAAGCCTAAGGATCCCTGCTCATCTTCCTCATGTGACAGTGGTCCCTTCCATGGTGGCTTTGGATTCCCAGACCCCTGAGGCGTCGTGGATAGCAACCACACTTCATTTAACACATGAGGACACTCAGACATAGCTCGGCAAGGACCCTGCTGCTGAGCAGCAGCTGAGCCGGACCCCAATATCAGTGGCTGGCACGAGGCTGGAGGGCCCTGGAGATTGCACAGCGCAGGCAGCTGACCCAGGAAGACTCCCAGTGTCTCCAGGGCCCGGCTGCTCAAAGATTTCCCGCTGAATCCAGACCGCTGGCTTCATCCCAAGATTCAGATTCAACTCCCCTTCACTGGGCATCTCCCGGTGAAGGGCATAAACAGCTACTGGTTCTAATGAGTCTTAACACACACATCAAAGAGAGCAAGCGCGTGTCCTCTTCTCCATTAAGTAACAAATCCACTAGTGATTAACACCGTCCTTGGCCTCAGGGAGTCAATAGTGATGAAGGAAGGTCAGGAGAGGGCCCCTGAAAACACTCATTCTGCCACTCAGCACTCTGTCGTCACTCCTGCTCTCCCCAAACATTCCCGGCTCACTCCCATTCTGTCGCAGGGGAGGATGGCATTTCCTGGCCTCTTTGAGGTTGGATGGGGCCTTGTGACTTGTTGAGCCAATAACTGTGAGCAGAATTAATGACTTTCAACCTGGCCACTGGAGTTCATGACTACCTGAGTCCCTCCAGAGCTTGCTTTCCCGCTGCCACGTGGCTGGCAGCATTCCATGTAATGACTGCAGGGAGCCCCGTGTTCACGGTGGTCATAGACTGTATGTGATCAAGAAATAAACCTTTGTGGTTTGAGCTATCAGGATGTCTTGTTACTTTTAGGGTCTTCTGTTACTATAGCATAACCTAGCTCCATTCTGATAGTTACAGCACCAATGTGAACATCACTGTTCCCAGAAGCCAATACTTTGCTAAGTATTGTGAGGGGGGAGGGGAGAGCATGGAGACATCCATCAGACAGGTTCTGGAGGGCCCATCTCTAGGGGCTTCCAATCTCAGGGCACAGACAGGGCCCCTCTAATCTAAAGAGACAGCTGGAAGTGTTCCAAGCGAGAAGCAGGGTAGAAACAGACCAATCTGATCGGAAAAGACAGAGGAAGGTTTCCAACGGGAGGTGGACCTAGAGTTGGCCTGGAAGGGTGGCTTGGATTTAGGCATGGTTGGAAATGGGCAAGGGCATCCCAGGAGGGCAACAGTATGAGCAAAGTACAGGAACAGCAGATTGCACAAGAATGAAAGGGCTGGGAAGATCAGAAGCAGGAAAGTGGCTAGAAGGCTCAGGTTATGGAGGACCTTGGTGCCCTGGCCTGGACTCTAAAGACAGCAGTCCCAAGGTTTATAAGTGAGGGAGTGACGTGATCTGTGTTTCGTTTTTGCCAAGGCCTCCTGGAAGCCAGAGCAGAAGACAGGTAATAACAGGATACCAGGGAAGGAGACACAAAAGCACGGCCTTTGGGGGCTTGGGGGAGGTGCTGCATTATGCAGGGGTGGGGGAGTAGGAGAAGCGCTGACAACAGCCGCAGCAAGTAGAGGAAAGGGAGCTCCCAGCTGACTCTCAGCAGCTGAGAAAAGGCAACAGGACTTGAGTCTGGGCTCGGCGCCTGTGGCTCAAGCGGCTAAGGC